TTCTATTCTATTCTATTCTATTCTATTCTATTCTATTCTATTCTATTCTATTCTATTCTATTCCATTCCACTTCTGTCCTATTATCTTCTATGCTTCATTCACTAAAATGATGGATGTGGTTCCCAAATCACCATTCTTCCTGTAATATTATCAGTATGACACAAAAGCCACACATGTTCCACACATGCCTGGATAGTTTCCTTTTATCTTGTTCCCCCTCACTTTCTACACAGGGCTCTTCCACTCTTTTTCCTATTCAAGCAAAGCTACTGAAACATTTTATACTTACCTAAGTTTTAAAGAAGCTTAGGCATCCTGCAGAACAGAGCTTCAGATGCATTTGGCATCCTATTCCTTAAGGAGAACAAGGGAGGTGGGAAAATAGATTGTCATGACAACAGATGGGGCACTCTCAAGTTTGTAAGGCTTCATAGATGGGCCTACAATCTTAAGACACGCCACCAATAAAAAAATGGAAATAACATTTCTTCTGTTTAATCAGAGGTTTCAAACTTTTTCAGAACAGCTTTAAAAAACCGAAATCCCCAAACTCCTGATCAAGAGGCCAAAAAAAAAAAGTTATCTGCTAGAACTTTGGTTGCATTTGATAATTTGTTGAGGTGATGGCTATTATTTGTTGCCTTAATCTTTTCAGACAACTCAACCAACTTCTCACAGAACCCTAAAATTCTATAGAACACCACTTTAAAAAAAAAAAAACACCCTAAACTGATTAAATTTTAGATTCTACTGAAACCAGGCTGAAGACTGAGATGAAAATACCTCAAGTCTTCCTTAAATCAACTTGTAGGAGCATTTCAACCGGGGTGCTTTCTTTTTAACCACCTGTGACTGAAGGCTAGTCGCCTTTGTCACCAAGAAGGAAATGTGTAATTGCATTTAAACGTTGGTTATTTTCTCTCTTTAGTCTTTTCTCTTTCTTCGTACCACACAGGCTCCCAGATCTGGCAGCAGTCTGTTGCCTCAACTTTGGACACCTACCTCGTTATTGAAGACCTCACACCTGGCTGTCAGTACCAGTTCCGGGTCAGCGCCAGCAATCCCTGGGGAATTAGCTTACCCAGCGAGGCCTCTGAATTTGTGAAACTCCCAGAATACGGTGAGCCTGTATTCAGAGAGGAGAGCTGACTTTCAGAGTGGAAAACTCCACTAATGTAACACTTCAAAATTCTAGGCAGGAGTCCTTGGTTCGAGAATCAACATTTCCTGGGAGTTCAAGCTTCACATGGTTCATATTTTGTTGCCTGCTATGAAAAATTCAAGAGAGATGTATGCTAAGAAGTCTTCCTACGTTCAGATCATTTTATGTTGGTGCAGCTGGTCTTTTGAAAAGAGTGCAGCATGGGGTTTATAATACTTACTTTGCTGGCAGCCATCCTGTGAATAATTGAAGAATTTTTTAAAAGGTGCTTTGATTTGGCAAAACACTGATTAATGGCTTCCTCCAAAGAGAAGCAACATCCCTGGTCAAATTGGCCCTTGCCTATTCATGTGCAGACTTTTCTCCAGACTAAAGCAATGGGTTGTTTTGAATCAAAACCTTCCCCTCTCCCACTTCCTCCCTGTGGATTGAAATGTCACAGGGGAACCATTTGGAGGCACTGCTTTGAATCAGATTGCTTCAATGACCCAACCTGAAGCAATACTTCAATTAGATCCCAGCCAATCTGCACTCCTTTAGATCTGAAACCCAGCATTTTCATTTGAAAAGATCTCAGAAGGGCTGGTTTCACCATTAAGCAAAGTGAACCAACCACCTTAGGCAATGGATGTTTAGCAGAGCAAATAACTGTTCCTTGTTTTACATGCAGGTATTCCGGGAGAGGATTTTTAAAAAAAAACAACTCAAAATAACTTGACTTTGGTAGATGATGGCACCACTGATAGGGAGCCAAATTTCTTGTGCCACTGCTGGCTCAATCAATAACTGTTGCCAGTCAAAACAAGATCTATGGTTTGAATTGGCACAATAGTATAACATGGTATCTGTACAGTGGTGGGATTCACATTTTTTTACTACCGGTTCTGTGGGTGTGGCTTGGTGGGCGTGGCAGGGGAAGGATACTGTGAAATCTCCATTCCCTCCCTCACTCCAGGGGAAGTTATTGCAAAACACCATTCCCTCCCCACCCACTAACCTGCTTTCCAGTTCTGTTCTCCTGTGCAGGGCAACCAAAGAAGATCCAGCTGATCAGCTGGGATTCAGGAGGTAGAGAATAGATGGGGGCAAAGCCAGTCAGAGGTGGCATTTGCCGGTTCTCCAAACTACTCAAAATTTCTGCTACCGGTTCTCCAGAACTGGTCAGAACCTGCTGAATGCAGTAAAGCAGTGATTTACTGATCTCACAGAAACACAATCATTGCTCAGATAGCCTTGGTCCATTACTGATGTTAATTTTAATCCCTATAAAGCATCCCATCTTAGGCATGTAGTTCTTAATGCAGCAATTTACAGTTATAGAAAGGAAAACTTTCTAACAAAACCCTGGTCTAAAGTTGAGACAAAGCCATCACTGAACTTAGCTTTATTCATTTATTCCAAGTTAGCTTTATTCATTTATTCCAAATTGATTTTAGGTGGTTTATGACTCATATATTAAGTTACAGTAATAATATTAATACAGTAATAACAAACAGCGTGTAATTATTATTAAAACAAAACTAGCCCTTCTCGCCCCTACAGAGGGTACCTCTCCTTTGACCTCCCTTGCAGGTATTCTCTGACTGTCTTAGGTTAGAGGGACAGATTTGATCATAGAAAGGTGGTCTCCTAGAGAGAACACATGAAATTTTAGAAGCTTGCTCTGGGACTCTTGTGAGCTTCCTGAGTCTTGCTAAGATACAAGAGCAACAGGCAAACACTCCATTCCCTCTTTAATGTATTTGCATGATGAAATCAACACTCACCATCGTCGTTGTAGTGGCTGTTATGGCTGTGGCTGCTTCTGCTGCTGCTAAAATAATTACCTAATGTTGACTGTATCTGTTTTACAATTCTGTTTCCCAATCCATCTGGTTCCACAAAGACTCTGCAGCGGATGGTGCCACCATTACTTGGAAAGAGAATTTTGATTTTGCCTATACAGAGCTGAATGAAATTGGACGGTAAGGAAGTAATTTCACAAAAGCCAAACATCAGAAAATGTAGAGAAGGTACAATTGTGGATTTTAAAATCATATTAATGGGAGTCTCTCCATAGCAACCACACAATCCCTGAAAGTCACAGCTTCTTTAATTGATCACAGAGAAGAACCACATAAACACTTTCATGTGTTGCAACATCTCTTCCCAGCTGAGTCTGAAGCACTGGACAACATTGTGTGTGTGTGCACACATACATACACACACACACATATAGTATCCTCTGTGTGTGTGTCTCTCTCTCTCGATCAGTCGATAGATAGATATCCCAACTCATTTATCAAACTGCTTAAAATATATGTGGGCTTAGATCTAATTCCCAATATGATGAGCTCCATTCACCAGAATTCACTCTTCTTTTCTTACTAAGCCCCATCACTACTGTACGTGCTATTATTTGCAACAGGAGCCAGTCTTGTTTTTAATCATGATTAATTCACAAGTGGATAGTTTAGTACGTTGCTCTAAGCTACAGGTGAAACTCGAAAAATTAGAATATCGTGCAAAAGTTCATTTATTTCAGTAATGCAACTTAAAAGGTGAAACTAATATATGAGATAGACTCATTACATGCAAAGCAAGATAGTTCAAGCCGTGATTTGTCATAATTGTGATGATGATGGCTTACAGCTCAGGAAAACCCCAAATCCACAGTCTCAGAAAATTAGAATATTACATGCAATCAATAAAACAAGGATTGTACATAGAACAATATCGGACCTCTGAAAAGTATAAGCATGCATATGTACTCAGTACTTGGTTTGGGCCCCTTTTGCAGCAATTACTGCCTCAGTGCGGTGTGGCATGGAAGCTATCAGCCTGTGGCACTGCTGAGGTATTATGGAAGACCAGGATGCTTCAATAGTGGCCTTCAGCTCTTCTGCATTGTTCGGTCTCATGTCTCTCATCTTTCTCTTGGCAATGCCCCATAGATTCTCTATTGGGTTCAGGTCAGGTGAGTTTGCTGGCCAGTCAAGCACAGTAATCCCACAGTCATTGAACCAGGTTTTGGTGCTTTTGGCAGTGTGGGCAGGTGCCAAGTCCTGCTGGAAAATGAAGTCAGCATCCCCATAAAGCTTGTCTGTGGAAGGAAGCATGAAGTGCTCCAAAATCTCCTGGTAGATGGCTGCGTTGACCCTGGAATTAATGAAGCACAGTGGACCAACACCAGCAGATGACATGGCTCCCCAAATCAACACAGACTGTGGAAACTTCACACTGGACTTCAAGCATCTTGCAGTGTGTGCCTCTCCATTCTTCCTCACCTGGAAATGTGGAACCAGTAGAAAGTTCCAAAAGTGCTTTCCCAAAAGATAACTGGACTTTTTAAAAAAAAATTCTTTGAAAATATTTCCCTCCTCATCCAAGGAGCTTCTGCACCCTAGTGGTATAGTGGCTAGAATGCAGTCTTGCTGGCAAACTCTGCCCACAACCTGGAGTTCGATCCTGATAGGCTCAAGGTTGATTCAGCCTTTCATCCTTCCAAGTTTGGTAAAAAGAGGGCCCAGATTGTTGGGGGCAATATGCTCAGAGAATGCTGTAAAACACTGTGGGATGGTATGCAAGTCTGTTTCTAGTCTTCAGTTCTAAAGAACTGAAGAAGCTTCTTGAATGAGAAGAAAAACATTCTTAAAGGGAAAAAAACCAAGAAAGTCCTGTTGTCTTTTGGAAAAGAAACTTTGGGACATTCATGACTTGGATGATTTAAGAATCTCCATGGACAACCACTAGAAAGAAAACAGTGCTGGCTATGTCTGGGCACAGGATTTATCTATGTATAGATAGAGAATGATTTGCCCTTTCTGATGAGCAAATTGTGTTCATGATTTGGGACTGGCATACAGTTCTGTAGAAACGATGTATTCCCACTTCTCTCCTGGCTATGGAGGATACCAAGTTCTCTTGGGTTTATTATAGGGGCTTGAGTAATCTTGTGGTACATTATCGATGATATACATCTGTGAGGATATGTGTACAGAGATGGCCAATTTTACAATCTAATGTTGGGAAGAGGAGTTCTCTGACACAAAGCTACTCAGAATTCAGCTTCTAATTCACAGTTACAATCTCTTATAATAGATTCATTGGGGGTGGGGGGAAATGAATATACTTTTATTAGTTTTTCTTTTCCCCAAAAAATATATTGCCAGGGCAAAAGACAATAATTACTTGTAAAGTTAATAACTCAATGAGTTTAGAAAGCTCTTAAAATTTATTCGTATGGAACTAAAATGGATTCATCCTTTATTCACAAGTTCTCTTCATGGTCTTAATTTTCCAGGGGCCGATTTGCTGTCGTAAAGAAATGTATTCACAAAGCCACAAGGAAGGATGTTGCAGTGAAGTTTGTCAATAAAAAAATGAAAAAGAAAGAACAGGCCGCACATGAAGCAGCCATGCTGCAACACCTACAACACCCTCAGTATATCACCATTCATGACACTTATGAGTCACCATCTTCCTACATCTTAGTTTTAGAACTGTAAGTCCCACATGGAAGCTAAGTTTTGTATTTCTAGAAGCAAGTCATTTATCAATTCCAGGGGTCTCCAATTCCACAAGTCTTAAAGTTGCTAAGGTTGGACACCCTTGATCTATTCTGTCACATTGTACATCTGACTATTTTCACAAAAGCCATTTCATTTCCCCATAAGGAGGAAAATGACCCCGAGAGAACATTTTGTATATGTCTGGTTCCAAAGATGCATTCTTAAAGTTTCTATGAAATGGCATAGTCTAAATGTAGAGTATTAAATCAGACCTATGAAAATGTAGTATCGTAAGTCTTCACAGTAGTAAATTTTTAATAATTGTCTACCTTTTTTATTTTGAAAAATACTACTCTGTTTAGAGATGTATCCCAGTGTTTTATGATTGATTTCCCACCCTTATTATTCTTATAAATAACTCAAAGTAATGAACATACTTAATATTCCTTCCTCTTCCTATTTTTCCCACAACAATAACCCTTTGAGGTGAGTTGGGCTGAAAGAGAATGATTGGCCCCAATTTGCCCAGCTGTCTTTCATGCCTAAGATGGGACTGGAATTCAGAGTTTGCTTAGATTTCATGAGACTTATTTTCATAATGGAATATTTTGGGATTTTAGAATGGACGACGGCCGTCTCTTGGATTATCTTATGAATCATGATGAACTGATGGAGGAAAAAATAGCTTTTTATATAAGAGATACGATGGAAGCTTTACAATATCTTCACAATTGTCGAGTTGCTCATCTGGACATAAAGGTAAGGAGGAGGAAAGAAGAAAATATTAACTTGTGCCTCTATAATCTTAAGTACCCATTTCTGCTTGGTCATCTTCACAGCAAACCCAACTACTGGTATCCAAGGTTGCTTCACAGCTTTAACTATTTGAAATTAAGTTAGTGTCTACATACATGTGAGCCATTCTGCAGGATGTATTTAACTGAAACCTTTGTACATGAAGATACTGACCATCTCACAATCTGTTAAGTATTTCCCATCTGCCAGTCCCAAATTGTCTTTCTATATTATGTTTACTTTAAATAAAATCTATCCTAATAAAGACAAGCATTTAACTGTCTCAGCACCCATCATATTCATCTCAGTTTATAACCATTTAAATATATTAAAATTTTATACACTGATGGTGCCTTGTGATTTTTAATTGCTTGTGAAATTGGGTTGGCAATATGGTCTGATAAATCATGTTTCAGTCATGTGAGGATTCGTACTAGATGCTCTCTTGAATGTAATGGGCCACAAACCTGCCAGACAATACTTCTGTGGATATTCTTTCCATAAAAATATATTTGTTTGAGAAGTAACCACAGATATAGGCATGTTTCTCTTCGTATATTAGCTGTACCTGTATTGACAGAAACCTGTTTTTATTGCAACAGAAATGGACAATACACCTTTTAAAATTAATGTGATTTAATTTTCAAATTTCCACAGCCAGAAAATTTGCTGATTGATTTACGGATCCCAGTGCCGCGGGTTAAGTTAATTGACCTTGAAGATGCTGTTCAAATCACAGGCCATTACCATGTTCATCATCTGCTTGGAAATCCTGAATTTGCTGCTCCAGAAGTTCTCCAGGGGGCTCCAGTGTCCCTGGGCACAGATATCTGGAGTCTTGGAGTGCTCACCTATGTCATGTTGAGCGGTGTTTCTCCCTTTCTTGATGAAAGCAGGGAGGAGACATGCATCAATGTGTGCCGAGTAGATTTCAGCTTTCCCAATGAGTACTTTTGCGATGTAAGCCATGCTGCCAAAGATTTCATCAACGTCATCCTTCAGGAAGACTTCAGGAGGAGACCTACGGCTGCCACTTGCTTGCAGCACCCGTGGCTGCAGTTTCATAATGGCAGCTATTCCAAAATACCTCTGGATACCTCACGCCTGGCTACTTTCATTGAACGCCGCAAACACCAGTTCGATGTGCGCCCCGTTCCCAACGTTAAGAGTTTCATTATGAGCAGAATGAACCTAGGAACGTAAAGCAATATAATTGTTTCAATGTTTCAATGATAATGCAGCACTACAGCCAGTGAAAATGGATTCTCTGCAACTCTTCCTCTCTGTACAGAGTATGACATTTGATGTGATTGTTGAGGAAAGTGTGTACCATTCCAGCAGTTACATTATCTAAATAGTTAGAATTAGATGCTTTCTCAGGTTGCCTCAGGTGCAACATCTTTGGGGGTGTGTGTGTTGTTGTAACTACATGGTCATGTTCAATAAGATGGCATCAGACAAGAACAGGAACCAAAACACAGTTATCTTCTTTCTGAAAGATTTGAGGATCTTCAACCATCTGAAAGATCTAGACAGCTTTGCTAATTATATGAATAGTTGAATGATATATCTGAAATTCAATCAAAAATGGGGAAAAAAAACAAAACCAGGTAACTATTTAAAGTCAGCTAAAGAAACTGGACAGGATAAATACTGGATTCTGTGAAAATCGCCATCCTCGTGTTAATCAGAGCTTTCCTCTAAGGCGGATTTCATTAAATCTTGAACTAGAATTAATCTTGCAGTAAGAGTGCTGTACTTGAGACTCACAGTAACAGTGAAGTGATAGATAGATCAAGTGGTATTGATCAAGATATCGGCAGACCATTGCCAATAAGGCCTCTTGGGATGCCACACGTTTTTTTTTGTTCAAGATTAATGTACTATAAAGTAGCCGTGTGCTACTGATAAGATGGTAAGAGTAAAGTAATGGAAACATCAAAAACATTTAGATGAAGCACAAAAAAGTGATTTTTTTAAATTAAAGTTTTATAGCTCTTGTACAGAAAACTTTTGTTGAGAAAAAGCTATCTTAAAATAAGTGCTGTATCTGTAAACTAGATGTCAAAAAAAAAAAATTCTATTTGAAGAATGTTTGTTGAATCCTCATCTTCTCTGTAACCTGAAAAGGATCTTATTTCCTTTTATCTTATAAAAAGTTGCTCAGTTGTTAATTCAAGCCAAAGTTGGCCAAGGTGTGGTAAACATAGTGGGTCCATCTTTATGCTTATGGCTCTGAAATTGGTCTTAGTACATAAGGCTAATAGTTTACTATGACTGTATGCATTTATCTTCTTAGCTCCATTTCTCAAATATGGGTGGGTTGTTGTTGTTTTTTTATCCCAAAGCATTGTATGAAACAACTCAACGATAACATTAAAAGTCATTGCCATATTAGATTCTGATTAGCCAAGGACCCAACAATGTAACAGCTCTTTAACAACCATTTCAAATGAAGTGTTTTTTTTTAAATAATAGTTCATTATCTTCGTAAAACCATTCCAACACTGAACACCCCAAGAGTATTTTAATACAGCTAGTGAATTATTCATGCCTTGCTGAATTGACATTCTTTAGAAGTCAAATCAATCAAAACATCCATCTGTTTTTTTCTCCTTTTCCCACTTCCCCAACAATTGATGTCCTCCATGCCTTAGGGTAGGCTGATTTATTTAGTGATTATCTACCAATATGACGGTTGCTACCATCTTACATGCAGAGATAATGGGCTCCTGTTGTTGGATCACAAAGTGCCAATGATTTGAGGGTGTCCTTTCACTACTCGAGATATAAAAAGCTCCTGATACAATACTTTCAAAGCCAAATGTATTGTTTGGAGAAAAGATAAAATAAATCTCATCATTCTGGAAAAAGCAAAGGAATAATTGACGCTTTCATCCCTTGGCACGATGGCACAGATAATTAGGTTTCCAAATGAATGCATAACCCCCGTGATAAGCTGACATTTGGTAACTTTGTTGGTATTCTGTCAACAGTGGCGCCAAGTGTTTTCCTCTCAGAGCCCACAAGACCGAGAACTCTTGTACAATTGAAAGTTAGGGAAGGTGGGGAAGGAACCGTCAACAGTTCTTGCAATTTTATAATGAATAGTGACAAGAATTGTAGAAGAGAATTGAACTCAATTCCTAAAGAAAACGTGGGGCAAAGAGAATTACCATACAGAGTAAGTTTTCTATTCTGCAACAAGCATTGCTACTTTTCTCCTTGTTCTTTTCCAGGAGTGATTAAGCATCAATATATTTTTTTTCTGGCTTAAAAGGATTGGGTCTGGGGTCAAGAATACTAAAACAGGAAGAATTCCAAATCTTTAGCATGTTAGATTTAATGGGTTAGATCAGGGGTGTCCAACCGTGGCAACTTTAAGGTGTGTGGACTTCAACTCCCAGAATGCTGGCTGGGGAATTCTGGGAGTTGAAGTCCACACACTTTAAAGTTGCCAAGGTTGGACACCCCTGGGTTAGATTATTATTATTTAATTCTATCAGGATTACTGAGCAAAGTTCTATCTCAAAGGTTTCTGCCATAGAAAGGCGTGTGACTCTTGCCGATTCCACACTCTGTCTAGGGCAAAGCTCCTGGTGTTGTTCATTTATTTTTCCAGGGGTTTCCTCCATCTTCTGAAATAGGTTGGTTTTTTTTTTAGGGGAGATATAGAATTGCTAGAATTGGGAGAAAATAAGGATATATTTTCTCCCCTGCTCTTCTGATGGAAATTCTTTAGTGGGTTTAAAGTCTCCTGTTTACTGAAGGAATTTATAAAGTCCAACAAAGACCCTATCATCTATTTCAGATGTAAGAATCTCCATCTATTAACTTTTTGGACCAAGATCCTGGTCTGACCTCGTTTTTATCTATTTTATTTTGTGGGGAGCCTACTTCATTTTTTTTCAGACATTATGCCTTAAGAACCAAGAAAACATTCGCCAAATGAAGAAAGGGAAATAACAAGGATTAAATTCACAGGTGCACAGGCCACCTTGTCTGAACTGGCACAATATTGGGGTTACTAAAACCTCCGTCCCAAAGACATTTGCAGTTTTTTCTTGGCAATTCTCTCTCTTGCATCTTGTTTTACTTGGTGCATGCTCTTTACAATATAAATTATGGTTTTGTAAGACTCATGTCATGCTTAATAATAATTCTAAATCAAATTAACAGGGCTGTTTCCCTAATATTTTCCCCTTTTTCTATCAAACTTCTCCAAACAAGTGCTATAGATGTTTTTATCCCTTGTCTCACTAGATAAGTAATAATCAATAGAGGAAAGCAGAACAAACAGTACAGAAAATGAATTGATATTAGGATTTGGGGCTATTAAGTATATATAGAGTGCCTTTGCTAGGAAAAAAAAAAAGGCAAAGTCCTTTTCCTTTAAATACAAGATGTTCATTTTTTCATAATCCATTTTTTTCTCCTAGAACTTTGCTGTACTTACTATCAAAGTAACGGTCATATGTTGCAATGCTGTCATAACATGGAATGTAAGATCAGATCAATTCCTTGTTGCCTTTAGAAACTATTTCTAAAAGGCACTGACAATCATCTAAAGGTGTGGCATGTGGGCTCAGGTAAAAACAAAAGCCATGATTCAACTGAAGTTGGATCCTAAAATCACACCTATTCCTTAAGATCTATGCTGCACTGCTACATATACTAATGAGTAAGTCTAGCTGAAAAAAATGCCACATCCAAGTAAAGATGTTTTTTAAAATTATGGGCAATTTTTGCTAGACCTGAAACAATCTAACAGAAGCGTCACCATTTTATTTATGGATGTAATTTGTTTAAATTTCCTTTCTTCAAGCTGTGCTAGCCATTAGCTTCACAATTGCCTACCTGGGCGTCCAGTTCTGCTACTCTTCGTATACATCAATCAAATGTTCACAAATGCTCCCAATTTGAGTCACGTGTGATCCTAAAAAAAATGTATGACTTTTATACAGAATAGTTTACTATGAATTATTGCTGAAATCTTCACTGCAAGCAAACATTGGGATAAACCCTGGTGATTTTGTGACTGGTGCTCCATAGAATAAGCATAAATTGTGACACAAATCTGACAGTGTTTCTTCAGATATTAAAGCAACTGTTACTTCAAAGGGCTCTGTAATGTGGATGTAAAACCTATCTAGTCCAATTACCTGTTTTTTTGCATCAAGAGCAATCAGATGCTACACAAATAAAAGAGGCTGGGAGTTGTGTGTTTTTTAAAGCTCATCTATCAAAATATGAAAATCTCGTTTTGTGAGACAATGTTAGCAAAGTAGTTCAAGACAGGCTGCAAGCAGATGTATTATTCTGGCCCTTATTCAGTGTCTTGGATCTGTCCGACACAGCTGTATGTTCTTTCTTAAAGAACCACTGATTACATGTGGTCAAGTGTGACTAGCAATGATTTGGGTCCTTTAGCATGTAGCCCAGAACGGCTCTACACCATCGGAATCTCAAAAAATTCTGAAAGTGCCATTTCCATGGACTTCTTTCCTTTCCTATTTGTTTCGAGCATCTATTATTCATCAGATGGTGGTGCTTTCTTAGCATAATAAAATCAAACCCACCCTTTTCCTCTTAAATACTCATTCTAAAATCATTATATTAATGATTGTCAACATGTCAGGATTAGTTGGCTTATTTATACTTTTAAAATAGGAAAACGCTTGTTCTATTTAAGCCATATTTTGCATTCTATTTTTATGTGCTAGTGCTTTAATCAGATCTTTGTATTTTGCTAGCAAATTATTCTGATTTTGCCCATGTGACTCCACAATAGACACATATTCTGTCGTGTGAAGAACATTACATATCTTTCCATATTTATTTATGAGTAAGCCCCAATGAATTCAAAGATGAACAGTTTGAGTACAGTCCTACAAACAACATTTGGATATACGAGTCATTCAATTTGGTGGGACTTGTTCATAGAGATACACATTGGATTACACTATTACTACAATGGACTTGCAGCTGTTGTGTAAGGTCCCACCAATAGTGAGAACTGTAGGAAAGTTATTATAGTAATGGGTTGTTGTTTTTTTGGATGGAGACAACTATATATCTGAGATGCTGTCAGGATTTCCACAAAGGAAATAATCAGACTAAATAACTCCTATTCCCATCCTTTCAAAGGTCAAGGTGCAAACTTATTTCACAGCCTTAAACAAATTTCAGTCTTTTGCTGGTCTGCCTTAAGTGGTATTATTTTATTGTTAATTTCATTTTATATGCATATGTGTTTTGTAAAGAAGCATTTTGTAAATATTTTATTTATACCTCTTCATATGTAATGTTGTAATGTTCCTATTCTTTGGCAACGTATGATCTCTATGGATAAAAAGTTACATTTTAGGCTACTACCTTCCTTATAAATGCAATATATAAAAGAGTTAGCCCTGGATTGTTTTAGAATATATAATTAATTGTTCTGATAAAATTGACTAAGCCATATATAATACATTTGGTGAGTAGACGTTTTTATTTTGGCCGCTATCAATGATCCCCAACTTGTGATCCAATATCCATTGGTGGCCTGCAAGAATATAGCAGGTGTCGATGACACTGACAGAAAAAAAAAAGCCCCAAATCTCATGATCACCCAATACTGCACTATTTTGTATTGTCAGGATCAAACTCGAGCTGTGATGTTTCATGACATTTTCTCATTCACGGAGCTGGGGTGGGCGTAGCCTGGGGTAGGCATGACGCATCCGGCCCTTGGGACCAATTTGATATCCCTGGTCTAAGGTATAATCAAGTGCTGTAGTATTTATCCATCAGGTAGTGGTCATTAAAAGTTTTAAATGATGGAGTGTCTATAGAAGAGCCGTGGGGGCGCAGTGGTTAGAGTGCAGTACTATAGGCTACTTCTGCTGACTGCCAGCTGTCTGCAATTTGGCACTTCGAATCTTACCAGGGTCAAGGTTGACTCAGCCTTCCATCCTTCTGAAGTGAGAGTCTTAATGAGAGAAAAAAATGAATTTCAGCAACTGTAGAATCAGGCTGCAGCACAATAAAACTGACAAAAATGAAGGGGCTCTGAAGACTTTCTGAATGCCTATATCAAGGCCTACGTCAATGCCAAGATAAGCTGTTGAGAAAATAAGGGAGCAGCAGATATGGAAGATCACGCAGAGGAAGTGCCATAGTAAGATGCATGGGAGGTAGCATCGACAGAAAGCTGAGGTGGGAGACATTGGGAAATCTTACCAATGGCTGGACGAAAAGGTGGCACTGATCCAGGGGTAGGATGCTATCGGTTCCGCCTGGCCCTTTAGAACCGGTAGCTCTGGAGAGCAGCAGACACCAAACCGGTTCTATGTTTGCTGCTGTTTGGCCCACCTGCCCGCCCGGGCTCTTCCCTGTCATTTATTTCCTGCTTTTTCAACCTCAGCTGCTTTGTGCTCACAGCTGAGGTTGAAAAAGCAGGAAAAAAGAGGCTTTTCAAATGCTGCGCACCTGCGTGCTGCGCTTTCTAGCTCTCCGGGTGGCACAGCTTAAGATTTTTTACATGTGCGCGCAAAACATATCACCGAACCGGTAGTAACTCAGGTTGAATCCCACCCCTGCATTAATCATAGTGTAAGAACAGGCAATAAGCACCAGATCCATAGAAGCAAGGATCTACTACGCTAGGCAGGACCCCTATATATGTCTGAATTGAATAAAGAGCAAAGACTTGTCAACTTTCTTCTATATCAGATGTACTTGTACCCAGCTATACAGTGCATTAACAGTGCAAGAGAGCATGATCCTGACTTCACAAACACTAGGTAATCAGGGATTAGATTAAAAAAGCTCTCAGCACACACATTTCCACCCCACCCCCCCATTTATTTGGACTCCTGTATCTTTTTAAATTGTTTTATCGTAGCAAATAAAATATGATAAAACAGAGTCCTGTATCTTTAGTACATTAATCTACTCACTGTATATTGAAACTTTAAACTTAAGACTTATGTACATAGTTTATCAGTTATAATTAAACTTGGGAGAAAAGTTAGTATTATAAGGTGTGGCTATCTTAAGTGGAAATGTTTTAAGATTATGTAACAGCTCCTTCTCACTAAAATCATATGCTCGAAATATCTTGTGCAAAATCAGATTTGCAATACAATCTCAGAAGGAAAGCTGCACTGACAGCATAGATTTTCAAGCCCTAGAGCAGTGTTTCTGAATTGTGGTATTTTTAAGATGCATCGACTTCAATTCCCAGAATTCCCCAGACCATGTTGGCTGGGGAATTCTGGAAGTTGAAGTCCATGCATCTTTTAAAAATGCCAAGGTTCAGAAATACTGGCGTAGAACCAATTTTCCTTGAACTAAATCATATGCATTTCCCATTCATGTGTGCGCTTATGATATAAACCAACTTTTCCAAATTTGGTTCCCTCCTATTTTGCTGTTTATCAATTCCAGTTTGGAATTAGAAGAGCCTCAAGCTCAATTGGTTGTGGCTGCCCATGTTGGCCCTGTTATTTTCAATGATAATAATAATTGCTATTTGTTTCAGTTGAACGCAGTCTACGTTTACTGTAATAAATTGACATTCAGAGGTCATCAAGTTAGGACAGTCTTGGCACTAAAATAGCCAAACTACAGAACACCAAAAGGCAGAATACACGAGTCACGCCTGATTTTCATGCTCACGAAGTTGGAGATAAAACAATATCGAGAACTGATCACAACCATCAAAGGGAATATTGAACCGAGGTCTCCATACATTTTCCCTTAATGCCCCATGATGCCCATCGTCCAAATGCCACCAAGTTCTATCTTGGCGCGTCCCGGGTAAAACTATGATTTGTGAATTTAAACCTAGACCAACACTTTCGATATTCCCCTTTTACTAAGCCCCTACTCAGCAATGCGAAAACTCTCCAGCCACGCCCATTATTTGCTCCTCCACGCCGGCAGAGGGCGCAAACGCCATTTTCTGCCCTGGTGCGACGTCACTTGCCGCTTCCGGGTTCCAAGCCACGCTTCAAAAATCGACTGTTAAATATTCGTCATTGCTCGGCGACAAGGTCCGCGGCGCACGCGCCGGCTACCCCCACCCCACTTCTCGTCCGCGCGCGGTACAAGGAAAGCGAAAAGCGCCATGGAGTCGCTGGCGTCTGAGCTGTACGGAGTTCAGGCTCTGCGCTTCGGGGAATTCGTCTTGAAGAGCGGCCTGGTCTCCCCGGTCTACATCGACCTCCGCGTCATCGTGTCGCATCCGGCGCTGCTAAATAAGGTATCCGTCCAAACCCCGCGAAGTTCAACCCGGCGTGAACGGTAAAAGCGGTTATGGTGAGTGGGCGGGGCTAAGTTAGATGAAAGGAAAAGAAGGCGTGGCCTTTGGAATCCAGCCAGCCAATAGTCGGTCGCAGGAATTCCGGGGGCTGATGCCGAAGATGCGCTTTGGAGTCTACAAAAGGTTTTTTGTGCTGCCTTGCTTCCTTTGCTGGAGGTGGGAGCGGTTCACGTGTATATCTCCCAGGTCAGGAGGTTGTGTGACGCCGGCTTTCTACCAGCAAATGGTACTTCAAAGGCACTGATCAAAAAGCCTTGAAAAATCCCATTGAAAAAAATAATGAAACTCAGCCTACTAGCACGGGGTTGCAAAATTAGGGCTGATCGTTGGCTGAGCAAAGAGAGGTGGAAATCTTTAGCTCTTTACTGTTGTCGGAGATTGTGGGATTACAGGTAGCCCTCGATTTACAGCAGCTCACTGAAAAAGGGACTTAGGGCCATTTTTTAAAAACACTTAATGACCGTTGTAGCATTCCCGTGTGTTCTGGTGATCCGACGGTTGCAGTGTCCTAGTGTCACTTTTTGTGACCTTCGGGCAAACAAAGCCAATTGGGGACACCAGATCCACTTAACAACAGTCTTACTAATTTAACAACTGCAGTGATTTCACTTACCAAATGTGGCAAGAAAAGTCGTAAAATGAGACAAGCCCACTTAGCAAATGTTTCACTCAGCAACATAAATTTTTGGCCTCAATTGTATCTCGGGAACTACCCGTATTTGCAATCCAAATCATAGCAGCCGTAATTAAACGTTATTTCAGCTAAAGTTAATGTAGGGGGCCCAAAATGGACATACCCATGTTGTTTCCTGGGCAATGATATAGAAGTGGGTAGGATTTTTAGATCAGTTAGGCTTAGGCAGAATCTTTTGCTCTGAGAAGTCTCTCATTTTGTTTCTTGGATTGTAAACATTGCTCATAGCCAAGATTATGAAGAGATTCTTCTCCAAGAATCACAAAGGCTAGTATCTGTAGATTTTGTAGTTTTTCAGCAAAATTTGGATTTCAGGAGATAGCCTGGACAGACCCTGTAGAGTAGGTATAATTGTATCTGATTTTTCATGCTGCTTTTTTTTTAAACAATAGCAATATATACCAGATAAAGGTTCAAATCCATCTTCACAGGATAATAGGTTAAAACAACACAGACGTGTTACTAAAATATGCATCACTCTGACCAGACTATTCTAGTCCAGGAAAGGTCACAATTTATGTATCGGCTAAAGTCAAAAGTACCAAATAATTTCTTAGCAATATAGCCACCTGATCCTTGAGGAAGTAAGCTGAAGTATAGCTGATTTTTTAAGAAAAGCAGGCATCTCATTTTCCCAGACAGATAATGTGTGTGAGGGTAGTGTGTAAACCCACTTAATTGATTGCTAGAAGTCAAAATGCTTGCTTTTTCTTGGCAGTCTGGTCTGGTCTTGGAAGTCTGTAGAAAATGTTTAGTATCAAGTTACACTTGATACTATTATGAAGTTGGGTGCTTTGGAGATGATTGTCAAATGCCAGGAAGCTTTACTTCAGAAATTAAAATCTGAAGAATAAGTGGGAACACAAATTAAGGATTAGGGACAAGGGAAATTATATAAGTGAGGTGAATAATTTTTGCCCATATAAATCAAAGACATATTTCAGATGATTATTTATTGAATATTTGATAAAGGAACAATTGCTTCTTTGGTCTCCTTTGTGCTTCAAATGATGTAAAGAAACAACTAATGTAATGCAGTCTTAATTATCCAGTTGTTTAAGCTGATAAATAAGTGATTATTCTTTCAACTGTTCTGTCTGGAAGCTGAGACCAAACTTTTTATGTTGCCCTAGGAGGATTTTGAAAACTCCTTTTTAAACTTTCACTCACTGGTAGATAGATATACTGTGTGCTAATAAAATACATTTTAAAACCATTCTCCCAGGTAGCAGATCTCCTTTTCTGTTCAGCAAAGGATGCCGCACTCAAGTATGATTCTGTCTGTGGAGTTCCGTACACAGCTTTGCCCTTGGCTACAATAATCTGCTCAACCAACAAGATACCAATGCTTATACGGAGAAAGGAAGCCAAAGATCATGGTAAAAAGAATAAAATTTCATTTAAATTTTACATTTTGATGGTATAAGTCAGTGGTTTTCAACCTTTTGTTCACCATGGACCCCCGTTAAATACCTTTCGTGGACATGAACCCCCAAGACTTAACTCAAGATAAGGAAGCATGATTTTCTGATTCAAGCCTTCACAAACCCCATGTGATGACATCTTGCACCCCCCCCTCCCAGGGGGTCTGCAGACCACAGGTTGAGAATCAGGAGTATCAAGAGTAAATCAGCAAGATGTGACTGACAGTCAATTGCTATCAGTTTATTCTCTTTTGGTAGAAAAGAGTTTTGAGGTAAATTTTGTGTGCACAATTAGTAAATATACATGCAAATGTGTTGCACTGAAATGATTTTTTGAATGATGTATTGCACATATATATTTATTAATGACAACGGTATTTTAAGGCTTCATAGTAATGTTTGATCCTTTCTATTCCTATTGTTAAAGGAACCAAACGCCTTGTGGAGGGCACAATTAATTCAGGAGAGACTTGCTTGATCATCGAGGACGTAGTAACCAGCGGTTCAAGTGTCTTGGAGACTGCAGAGGTCCTTTGGAAAGAAGGACTGAAGGTTACTGATGCCATTGTGCTGTTGGACAGAGAACAAGGAGGAAAAGCCATGTTGGAAAAACATGGAATTAGGCTGCACTCCGTGTGCGGCTTGTCTCAAATTCTCAAAATCCTGGAACAGCAGGAAAAAATTACTTCTGAAACAGTGGCAAAAGTGGAAAAATTCATTCAAGACAATATTTTTAAACCATCTGAGCAAAACGGCACCGCGCCTGTGAAAAGGGTATGCAAAGAAATAAGTTACGCGTCTCGGGCTGAGCTGCCAGGCACTCATCCTCTGGCTGCTCGACTTCTCAGGCTCATGGAGAAAAAACAGTCTAACTTGTGCCTTTCTGCTGACGTGAACAGTTCCAAAGAATTGCTCCAGCTGGCTGACACTCTGGGACCATCCATCTGCATTTTGAAAACTCACATTGATATTCTGGATGATTTTACTCAGGAAGTAGTGAAAGAGCTGAGTGTGCTCGCTGCTCGGCACGAATTCTTGATTTTTGAAGACCGAAAATTTGCAGACATTGGAAATACAGTGAAACATCAGTACAAAGGTAAATTTGATTTCCCCAGCTACACTGTAACCTCTGCAGAGCTATTCCACTTGTTGGGGCATTTTGAATGTCAAAGAATTGCTATGTATTTGATTGAGCGCAAATTTTCTTTTCATCTTCAAACCGCCTGAACTTCTTTTAAAATAAATTTTATCCCAAATATCATCCAAATTCAGTGCTGAGCATGTATGTTATTTTTTATTTCTTTATTTTTACTATTCCACGCCCATCTCATGGAAAGTGATTTTGTGACAAAGGAATGCTTGGACATTGAAACATATTTATCCAACTGAGCCTTTCCCCATTGGTACTAGCATAAACACATCTCAGTAATCTGTGTGTGTGTGTGTGTGCGTGCGTGCGTGCGCGCGCGCGCACCAGTTCTTCATAGCATTGCATTCTGGTCTATAGCCCATAATAGACTTCAGTAGTTTAGCTGCTTTATTTTTAAATTAGCTTTCCCCTCTTAATCGTATACGGTCGGGTTTCTGCCATTCTTGGCTGACCATTCTGCTCTTGACACAGTTATCTGACACCTAAGTGGTAGGATCTATTGGCTTTAGACTGAAGAGAGATCTACCCCCTCCATCCCATGGGATTGTCTTTCAGGGCTATTTTGATTCAGGTAGCCAGACAGACAGGCTGTTTCCAACTAGACTCTGTCCGAGTCCCTGAGATGATTCCCTAGCTTGAACACAGCTGCCATTCCCCTATGGCAGAGGGCGGAATAGCATGATGAAGCAGAAGAGAGCCACACACATCCCACCCCCCCTTGGGTTGGCTATTGTAGATTGGACTGTTTTGGAACATGGATTTTTGATCTCAATCCTTGGCAACATTTCCATAAAAATAAAAAAGGTGAAAATAGGGGTTTTGGTCAGATTGAATAACTTTTTCAGTCACACCTATTCTCGTAATTGTTAACTTGCCTATTCTTTCTTTCAGGCGGTGTTTTCCAAATAGCATCGTGGTCAGATATGGTTAATGCTCATGCAGTTCCTGGCCCAGGAGTTATTAAGGGGCTGAAAGAAGTAGGGTATCCTTTACAACGTGGGTGTCTCTTGATTGGTGAGATGAGCTCCAGCGAGTCCCTGGCCACTGGGGACTATACGAAAGCCGTTGTAAGTTCGAACTTTCATTTGAATAGAGTTGAAAGACCAAAGCAACTCAAATACTTAAAAGCGCCTATCTTTTTTTCCTCCCCTCATTTTCCGGCAGTGTGAAAAAGCTGCTTAGAATGAAAATGTAGATTCACTTCAGTACATTGGAGAAATCCTTGCCAGAGAAGGGCAGTGAAAACTAGAATAATTCTTAGAAGTTTAGGAGATTATAGGCAAGAATGGAAGGGGATTGCGAAAAGATTCCGACACAAAGAAAGAATGGTTATATAAGAGCCAGTGCAATGTTGTGATTGAGATATTCTTTTACGAGATAAATACAGGTAGTCCTCAACTTACAACTATCTGTTTAGTGACCGTTCAAAATTATTCTGGCACTGAAAAAAGTGACCTGTGAACATTTTTCACATTTACGGCTGTTGCAGCATCCCCAGGACCACGTGATCAAAATTTGAGTGTTTGGCAACTGATTCATATTTATGACGGTTGCAGTGTCTTTGGGATCATGTGATCCCTTTTTGTGATCCTCCGACAAGCAAAGTCAGTGGGGAAGCCAGATTCACTTAACAACTGTGTTACTAACTTAACTACTGCAGGGATTCATTTAATAACTGGTAAGAAAGATTGTAAAATGGGGCAAAACCCATTTAACAACTACTTGTCAAGTCAAGGACCACCTGTAATATTATTTTTATTTTTTTTGCAAATAGGGAGATGTGCATCTGTTGACTCATGTCAGTATTGTCAGTATTGCCAATAACAATATTGGGTTTTTTTTAATGTGTGTTTTGGCTTTTTTAATAGCATCAACTGTTTAGTTGTGGGTTTTTTTTCTCCTTCCATTTTACAGTATGTTAAAAGCAAATTTACCTGGTTGTGTGACATATCTTATGTATGCATGTTCTCTAGGTCAAAATGGCTGAAGAACACTCCGATTTTGTTCTGGGATTTATTTCTGGGTCCAGAATTAGTGAAAAACCTGAATTCCTTCACTTAACTCCAGGAGTCCAGATGCAAGCTGGAGGTGAGCGTTGTAATAGCAGTGGCTTATTTATAATAAATATGGCATTTTTAACAGGACAAAGTATTTTACAATGTGTAACCTTGGCTGGAATAAGAATTGGCTTGGTTGCAAATGTGGACAAGTTTAGCATCTACAGTAAAACCTAACCGAGAACCAACCAACTGTGACATGGCTTTCATAAGAGGCACACATCTCTGATGTAAATGTTCCTTTTTTGATTAAAAGAAAATATTAAAAGGCTTTTTCGTAATGGGTATTTCTACTTCTGCTGGAATAACTTTTTTTCTTTAAAGTTGATGGTAAGAATAGTCTGATAATGACCCCCATTACAATGGAAGGTAACAAACAACCCCTTACCAGATGTGTTCATGCAGAGATTGGATACCCATCTATTGGCTATGCTTTTTTAAGAACCAAGTGGCATGAACTGGGGCAGCAAGAAGTTTTTTAGATGGCTATAATCTGTTGCCACTATTCTGCTTTAAAGGGTACTTAGGAAGTGTTTTTTTATTTTGCCTATTAATTTCAAAACATGATCATTAAAAAAAAATACAACAGGAACTTAAAATAGGAGAATGCTGTGAAACTGTTCCTTTTGTCAACTTGAAAAGGAAAATTTTCAAATGGTTTATTGGAGAGCATGAGGTATATTTACTATCTTGAGTTCTTTATAAAAATAATAATGGCTGGATTTTTAAAAAAATCCTAATTTTGTTTTGTAATATCAGATTATTTGTGGTGTTCTCTGCTTTTTTCAACACAACCCAGAACTGATTTTATTATAAATGTGGATACATAAAATACTTGTGTAAGGGTGTTTGATATTTGCAGCTATTTTTTCATTCATTTTCTAATTGTTGGATTTTTCCCCTAGTGATGAACCATTTGCCACAGATTGTAAAAAATTTTTTTTTATTAGCTCCACTGTAAGAAATAGAGGTTATTATTTTTTGCCACCTCTTGCATTACTTTATACTTACATTAAACCTATATTGGCATTTTATTATCTTACACAATAAGGAGATAAAAGATTCTTTGGAAGATTTTTCCCCCTTTCTGTATGGTTTCCCTTGTACTTGAGCAGTATCTATTCACTTCTATAAGGATTTTTTTTTTTCTGGCATTTGGCTGAAAACACTAAAAACACATATGCTGTTCCTTGCAGGTGATAGCCTTGGGCAGAAGTACCTAAGTCCACAGGAGGTTATCAGAAAACGACATTCAGACATCATCATTGTAGGGCGGGGCATCTTATCTGCATCAGACCGTCGGGCTGAAGCAGAGGCATACAGGAAAATAGCCTGGGAAAGTTACTTGCAGAGGATTGGTGTTTGTACCCAAAATTAACCAAGTTGGCTTCCACTAAACAGGCCATTCCAAAAAGCTAACGTAATTAAGAAGAGGAGTGTGTTTGGTCCACCAAATGTTTTTGTACGTTAAAATAAATTTGCCACTGGGGGATTTGGAAGCTGTCACACAAATAACAGCTATGGCACTTCTTGAAACTGAAATCAAGCAGTCATGTTGAGGTGATTTTGGAATTGTTTAGAATAAAATAGAAAACCATTCACAAGTCTTTCAAACACCACCATTGGGTTTGAAAACATGAGTAATATAAAAATGGAGAGAAGTCAGAAAACAAGATAGATTTTTATATAGCATATGCACTTATCTGTTCTTTTCTGTATTATAATAGGAGTCTCCCGAGAGGGTGGGTATTTCAGTCACATCTGGAATATACTTGAAAATATTGTGCTGGCGAGCGATCTGCCTGTTTAGTATCATTAGGACATTCTCAATGTTTTAGCAAATGCTTTGCTGATGTAGAGATAACTTAATACCTCAAGTTACATACAGAAAATGTATTTTTCCTATTGATAATTATCTGGAATGTGAGATGTATGAACATCTTTCACAATATTAATTTTAAATGTGAATGTATGAATAAAATACATTTTGTGTGGTTTTGTATGGGAATAGTAGAATAATATGTATATTGTCTTACATAAAACATTGCGTTTATGAATGTTATATGTCTTATGAAAGATTTGCAGCATAAATGAGATATTAATACAGAGGTGATGTTTCTTGTTCTGAAATGCTCCAGAATTCTCAAGAACTTGTCTTAACCAGTTACAGATTTGTTGTTTTTTCCCTTACTCAGTTGAGTCATCAAATTCTTCTGCAAAAGTCCTTACATATTTCAAATGAGAAGAAAGTTGATTCTGATCTATAAAAGACCTTCTATAATGTTATGATTCTGACTTAACTGTATTTTGAACTCAGATAAATTGCAAAGTATGTGAATAAAATAGTATTTCTTTCATAAATGCCTGTCATTTTCTGTTCAGAAGTTTCTACCACCATAGACTTCTATTTTAAATCTTACTGAGATACTACATTATTACAAATTTATTTATTTAATGTGCTCAAAGAGCAGGCAATTATTCAAAATAATAGAGCAGAAAAACAAGATGGATGTGTCACAATCTGCCCAAAAAAGTGTCTGGTAGTAACGAATAAAATAAAACTAGAACTTTATTGAGGTTAGTTCAATAAAGTCAACTGTTGCTGTGCTTTTATTGCAACCAGCAAATATTTGCCTTTCCTCCTTGTATCTTGATATCTTAACAAGTTTAGTGTGCATGTCTTCTCTCCAAGAATTGCTGGAAGATAGGTGTTAAATAAAATCTATGACTTGTCTCTAAAAATTGTAATGTGCTGTAATTGCAATATCAAAAATACCAGGATTCCTGGGTGCTGAAGAGTAACAACCTCTCCAAAATCACACAAGTTTATACGCTCGGATACAGGGATATTATTATATCTATTACTTAAAAGGGCTGAGAGTTAAGACATGCCAATTTTGAAAAAATATTTCCCAAAACTCAGAAATTAATGTGTTCAAGTAATTCTCACTAATGAGCATTGCAGGGCTCCATATTAAGCCAATTTTAGTTCAAAGTTCTGTTATCTCCAGCCTTTGATAATCCTTTCGACCTGATCATAGCCAACAGGAGGAAGGTAATTTTGGGGTAATCTAGTAAAATTATTTTACCCCATATAACATTTAACTTTCAAGCTCAATATTCAGCCCTAGGCCTTTCTCTCAAGACCAACAGCTGTACTGACGTTTTTAGAAAGAGTGTGGCTTGAGAAAATTAGGTGATGTGATCTCTAAGGGATTTCTTTTGACCTGTGCTGGGTCAAATATTAAGTCTGGGTCAGGGTTTTGGCCTCAAAACGTTTTAAGAGCTGCAGATACAAACTCCATTGGTTCAAAAAAAATATCAAGGATTTAAGCAGTGTTTCTTTGAGGTATTCAGAGAGCTTTCCAGGATGGCAGCATGAAATGTCATTCCAGAATATAGGTGATCCTTGACTTATGGCCCAAATGGAGCCTAAAATTTCGATGGCTGAGCAAAACAATTGTTGAGTTTTGTCCCATTTTATGACCTTGCCAGAGTTGTTAAGTGAATCACTAGTTGTTAATAATAATGTGGTTATATTAATTTTGCTTGACTTTGCTTGTCAGAAGGTGCCCACCCAGTCACATGACCATCAAGCCACACCCCACAAATTAGGCCACACCCACAGGACTAGTTGTGATCCGAGGACATGGCAAGGGGTGGGATTCAAATTTCTTAACAACTAGTCCTGTGGGTGTGGCCTAATTTGTGGGGTGTGGCTTGATGGTCATGTGACTGGGTGGGCATGGCTTGCTGGGTGGACGTAGCTTGGTCACGTGATGGGCATGGCTTGTGTGTAAATATGTAAATTGGGCAAAGCAGACAGGCAGATTGAGTTGCTCACAGAATCACAGATTGTCTCACATCTAACATTCTGCAATCTGCTACCTGAATCTGCACTGAAAAATAAAAGCTTCAGTCCTAAGGAAGCTTCAGCCCTGCTTTTAGATTAGCTAGAAAGCAAGAAATCCAACGATTTCCTGCTTTCTAGCCCGTCTAAATCTCCTGGCACAGCAGAACAGCTGATGGTTGGGGGGGCGGGTTAAGGAAAAATAGCAACTTACCCAACACAGGCAAATCGGATGGTGTGCATGCTGGATAAGGAATGAGTGGGCGGGGTGGGAAGGGAAGGGTCCAGCCAGTGGCGCAACCCCTGCACGGCAACCATCATAAATATGAGTCAGTGGCCAAGCATCTGAATTTTGATCACATGACCATGGGGATGCTGCAAGGGTTGTGTGAAAACCACCAGTCATGGGTCTCTTTTCAGTAACGTAATTTCAAATGATCACTAAACGAAATGGCTGCATGCTATTTCCATCCACAATATTGGGCTGCTTTGGCTTCTGGGAAAATACCATTCTCTTGCATTTCCTACTGTTTATAATCAACATACAGTATATTGCTCACAGAAGTGCAACGTTCCAAAGGGACTATGATTCATTGAGATTTTTTGGATGAAAAATATATATAGATATCATAATTTTTGAATCACGTCGCTCCCACCAAATGGTGCTTCAGACTTCATAAAAAAAAAAACAGGCCGCTGTGCTCATCTTAATGGAGGACCTGTACTGGATAGAAATGTGAATGTTCTCCCAGCTTGTTCTCTGCATCTCTCAGCCACTTTCAGAACCATCACGGTGGTAGTCTTTGAAACTCCTTCCTTACATTAGTAACAGTAATGGGTAGGTTTTTTTTATAATAAAGTTGGAAGGGATCTTGGTGGTCTTCTAGTCCAGTCCACCATCACCACCACCACCACCACTCAAGCAGTGGACTTCTATATTTTTTTCTTGTAGGGATTAAAAACTTGTGCCAGGTTGGCCTTGAAGCCATTGTTCTATAGCAGGGCTGTCAGATTCACAGCACGTGGCCCGGATGCATCACACACTGGCCACGCCCATGCCTGGTTTAGCGATGGGGGGAAAAACAGTCACGATACACCACGTGATGATGCGAGTTTGACACCCCTGTTCTATAGTGTTCCTAATGGCTCCATCTAGTTCTCTTTTGCTGTTTAATGCAAGAGTTTTGGAGTTTCGGTGTCTTTAGAACGCTTCTGTCATTCTATTTCTCCTTTCCTTCAAAATCAAAAGAAGCTATTCTATTTCCCAATGTGTGTCTGACGTTTGTAGTGGATGGGATGGGAGTTAGCTAAATCCAGACATCCTGCTGGACAGAAGATAGAAAGATTAATGAATAAGGATTAAGAGTTAATGTACACAGAAAGGTCTTTATACTTGACCTAATGGCTCAAATTTGCAAGCTGGCTTTTTTTTTTTTTCAGGACCTGCAAAAATCAGGCAACTAATCATCAAGCATGTGTTTGCAGAGTGAAGCTTAGTCTGCTCACTGTGTCTGTTTCCAGAATTATCAGAATAGATTGCTGTGATATCTGGGCTGTGATAGCTGAATGCTGCCTTTGTAAATGTTTGGACATCTCTTTTGGTTTAGATCACTGCTGTCAGTCTGTTTGACTGGAGCCTTATAGTAATGCTGGTTTCCTCTGTGGCGAGGCCAGCAATTAATAGACGATACACAGTGTGCATGAAATCAATCAAAAATAAATAGTAAAAATGTTGATTATAGTTCATGCACTGATTTTTCTGCCTATAAGAAGTATTCCTTCTGTCACGGATTCCGTCAACAATGATTACAATTTAGTAGCAACTTTTGCAGAGAGCTGGAGAGCCACAACCACTGAAGGCCACAACCAGACACAGTATCACAGGTTGTGTCCTCTTAAGCTACAATGTATTAAATTAAACATGCTACTTATGATCTTTGAAGTAGGTTACGTTTACTCCATTATGTTTTGTCTGGATTTTGGATCTACTGGAAAGTCCTTTCTCTTCGTTCAGCTAATGGGGAACCAGACTTTGAAAAGTCATGTCTGGTTACTTTCTAAAATCACTGATAGGCAGGACTACTAAATCTGGGCTGCAAAGGTCCGGATAATGAATAAATGGTAACAAAGAAAAATAAGGACTCTTACTTCTTAGCTACTGTGTAAGATTATCCAGATTTTGCAGCCTGGATCCAAATGAGGATTGGCTCCAAGCTACAGCACCCTAATTTTTATTGCCGATTCCCATATTTATTTGTTAAATTTCCTCCAGAAGCTCAAAATGGCTTTCATATCACTTGAAATGGATTTAGGATTGTAATGAAAGGATTACAGCATACCTCAATAAGTCCCAGTACAGATTCTGATTTGTCTTACCAGGTTGGGAAGAAAAATAAAGGACCAAAATAATAATAATAATCAGAGGCAGTCTTCTCTGTAATGCTATTTCATTTTGAAGTAAAACAGAACCTGACAATTGCCATTATGTTACTTATGGATCATGCCGAGATAATTCATATCTTCAAGCCATTTGTTTTATTTCTGCTGCTTCTGAACTGGCCCTAATATGCAGCAGTAGTTTTGAGAAATCCCAGCTGGGCCACTGCAAGAAAGAAGTTCATTACGGCTAATTACAGTAACAACTTGCCATTTCTATTAATTGCAACTAAGCTTCAAAGACGACACTAAATGTATGCATGTTTATTTGGAATGCACTAATCATATCAAAGGCTACTTCCATGTAAGCATTTTTTCATGACAAATTTACATTTATTTTCAAGTCTGGGGCGGCTACATTATTTTATTCTGGCTCAAAATAATATTCTAGGCAAACGAGCAGCTTATTTTTCATTCATCTTTTGCATGTATTCAAGAGCCATGGTGGCACAGTGGTTAGAATGCAGTATTGCAGGCTAATTCTGCCGACTGCCAAGGGTTCATTCCTCACCGGCTCAAGGTTGACTCAGCCTTCCATACTTCTGAGGTCGGTAAAATGAGGACCCAGATGGTTGGGGGCAATATGCTGACTCTGTAAACTGTGTAGAGAAGGCTGTAAAGCACTGTAAAGCGGTATATAAGTCTAAGTGCTATTGCTGTTGCTATCTCTTATTTG